CCCACAAAGTGGTCACACTTGAGAGCGGGATCAGATTCTGCTCCTCTCCGAAAAGCAACTTTGAACGCCGGTGGCCTCGGATCCCTCGGGCAGCAACTGCGTCAGAATCCGAGCTCGGTGCGTCAAGGTTATGGGCACGTGTTGTGTGGTCTGACGAGTCCACATTTCCAATTATTTCGGGAAATGGTCGACGCCGTGTCCCCCGGGCCAAAGAGGAAAAGAACCACCAAAACTCAAGGCAATCTCTCTCTCCTTTTTTTTTTTTTTGGTTATTTCATAAAAGTGATTGCAATTCATGAACTAAAAAAAAATCCAATTACAAGATTGTATTCATTCATAAAAACAATTTAACATCTTTCAAATGAGCATTTCTGCCTCCCCCCCTTGCATACATTGGAGACGTCGCGCTTGTGTGCGGTTACCTCGGAATAGCGAGGGTCTTCCGCCGGGTCCTCGTAACGTCTGAAGAGCTTCACGGCCTTCAGATAAGACTCCAGTAACTCGAGCTTTTCTTGGGAAAAGTCTGGAAGCAAATCCATGACAAACCGCGTTGGGGCCCGGCAGGCAGGCAGCGTGTGGAGCGCAAAACCAAAACCCAATACTCACGTGTTTTTTTAAAGTGCTGAATGGTGACCCGGTCGACCGGGAAGAAGCTGACGGTGGCGTTGTACTCGGGGCACATGTTGGCGATGGTGGTCCGGTCCGGGGCCGAGAGCTGTGACACGCCGGGCCCGAAAAACTCGACAAACTTGCCGGCGATGGCGGCTTGTCGCAAGTGCTGCGCGAGAAAAGGTAACGTGTGAGCGCGCGGCGTGAGGGGAGGAGCCCCGTTGTACAGCTCGGACGAGCGCGCGAGCGGATCGGTGAGACCTTGGTGATACCGAGGACGACGTCGATGGAGGTGCTCAGCGGGTTGATGGAGCCCACCAGTTTGCAGCCCACCACCGGAGGAAGGGTCAGAGAAACGGGCTGGCCCAACATCACCGCTTCCGACTCGATTCCACCGACACCTAACAAGCAGCGGACGGAGACACATTTGAAAGGACCTTCTTGTCAATTTTGGTTTTTCACACTTGGATTTAGAATATATATCATGTGCAGTGCTCTTGATGCGTTTTCCACCAAAACTAGTGCGGTGGTGCCTGGAGAGACTCGTTTAATTCATTCCGTGACCACACAAGTAACTCGCTAAGAGATTCCGAGGGTGTGATAACCGTGAGCAAAAATATGGCGGTATCGGCGTATTCAAATTACGGCTTTAAAATGACCTTTGGGGAAATATTTGAGTCAATAAAAACTGCATTTTTTTTCCCCCATTGAACATTTTATTTGAAATCCATCCATTGTCGCAAGACAGAGATGTCGTTCAGAAGAAACATGTACCACGTATTAATGTTACGTTTTATAAGGAGAATAGCACTCTATATTTTTTTAAATTGATTAATAACCAAATTAAAAACAATCTAAAATATTTAAACAGTTTGTCGATTGCGATTTAATGCTTTGATTTCATTCATTCTACGACGTTTTCCTGGTGTGCCCGATTTGGCCACTGGGGGGCAGTAAAAACAGACAAACGAAGAAGAAAGTGACTCCGTTTGTATTTGCATTGTCACCGTTCTAAAGTGACTCAATGAGTCGTTTTTTTTTTTTGGTTTGTTTTTTGTTTTTTCAAGGAATACACAATATAGGCCTTTAAGTACACTCCAAAAGCAGTTGGGTGAAAAACATGCCACATTATCAATAAAATAACTTGAGGACTATATCATTGGGTTGCCAAGTGAAATTCAAGTCATGGGTTCAACGCATCCTTTTATGCGTCACAAGAAATGTCCATTTCAAGAGACAATTACAGATATTCAATCACACTCAAGCCTCAAACTGTGCGCGGTGTCCCACATCAGCTCCTTCCTTGAAATCCAAATGCCAAGAGGGACGCGTGCTTACCCCAGCCCAGGATGCCCAGGCCGTTGATCATGGTGGTATGCGAATCGGTGCCCAGCACGCTGTCCGGATAGATCAGCCCGCCGCTGATCTGGATCACTCGGGACAAATACTCCAGGTTGACTTGGTGGACGGCGCCGACGTCCGGGGGCACGACGTTCACATTCTTGAAGGCTTTTGAGCACCACTGTGTCAAAGACATCCACAAAGTTGCTTTGGGGGCTTTGAATGTCTTTCGGGACCTTCTCACCTCAAGCTGTTACCTTAAAAAATTGAAGTCGTTCTTTATTTCTGCTCAGCTCCATTTCCTGATTCTTCACTGAGGTTTCGCCTCTGCAGAAGGGAACATGTCAAATTACTTGGGAAGGTTTTTCTTTCCTCCTGAAATCATGCTACACGAACAGTTTGAACCCTTGACTTACTTTACATTTTCTGTATAGTGTACAGTTTTTTTTTTTTTTTTTAATGAACTACAAAACTGGTTGGGTGTTCTTGTTATCACATTTGATTTGCTTTATGGGGGCATGTAATGAATGCCTTGAACAAACATTTTGGGGTGAGTAGCGTATGACAAGACACTCACTCAGAAACCGGCTTCAGGTGGAAGGGACAAAGGAGCGGCGTGTTCTCGATCTGCTGCACCGAGGCGTGAGGTCGCCCCCCCGCCGACGTCGACGAAGGGGGCTCGTTGCAGGCTGTTTTGCTACAGGGGCCCCGCTGGCCTCCGCAGTGGGAGCCTCTCCGCGGAAGAGGCTTCGAAGGGGGCGGCCGGGAAGCGCCTTCCCCTCCGCCGGGGTTCGGAGCGTTCTGGATGGCGCTGTGGACCCCAATGAGCCAAAAAGTGAAGACGCGGACCGCGTGAAGCTCCCCGGCGCAAAACGCGGGCCGTTTCCGAGAAACACAAATGCGATGGTCGAATGAGAGCGCGACGTGACGGCAGACCCACCACTTGCTGTAGTCCTTTTGCAGACAGTGGTCCACAATGAGGTCTGTGTGGCATTTGGGGTTGACCAGCCTGGGGTCCACGCCGTGTTTGGCCACGGCGTCCCTCATGGCAGCCAGGTCCACCATGGCAGGGATCCCACTAGTAGGGAAAGACAAATTCGAGAGCAGAGCATCGTTGAAAAGTGGGCAGGTTTTGAACTCCCGTCCGACTCTGATGTACCAGCGGAGCTAATTTGCATCAACACCGATGACCCTCGTATCTGCTGCTCCTTACATTCAGCATGTGTGAGCATTCTTGGGCTGTCTTACTCGTGATTCTGTACAAATGTGGTGGTCACACAGACAGTTCTCAGGACGATGTCAAGCCCCCCCCATGACCATTTCCCTGGATTTAACACATACAGCGGCGGTGCCTTGAAATCATACTAGAGCCGCGAGTGCTATCTGGTGGCAGTGAACTCAACTCAACTCACTTCAAAACAAGAAGCCCCTCGGCAGATGGCTCACAAGTCTTCCCGAAAGGCTGTTGAATGCCACTCCCGATTAAAAGTGTTTGTTCTCGAACTAAACATTAAACAAAGGATATGAAAGGACGGGTATTTAAAAACAACCAAAGAATTTGGCCTCGGGAAAGTCTGCTTTTGCTTCATCCATACAAAGTACGCAAATTGCCTGACATGGCCAAACAAAAAGAATATCCATCGAAGAGTTATAACCTTGAAGCAACGATTACAAGAACACAAAGAGCAGCGCATGCAGACAGATCACAAATACGGCTGCAACTTCCTGAGGAGTTGAGACGACGCCATTTATTTACATATGTACTATACTGCTCCCGGAGGGGCCACAAGCACACTGAATTAACCATGAAGCGCAACCTGTTTTGAAATTCTAATGATATTTAACGACATTCTGTTATTTATGTTTCATGCCGTACAATATTGTAAGGTGGCATTTTCTTGAAAAACTCACGGCAAAGGTTTTGGATGAATGTTAGAGGGAGGCCGAACGGATTTGTACCGTTTCCATTCATTTCGATGAGGACAGACGATTTGAGATCAGTGTTTTGAGTGGCTTGATTAAACTCATATCTCAATGCAGCACTGTCCTGGTAAATCGAAAATGTAATTTGGTAGACACGGCTCAAATTTCACCCCAGTACATCCTCAGTGTATACAAACGTTAAAGCACCACCACTAACACGTTTATTTATTTGTTTTGTTTTTTTAATGAATCCAAATTCATGGTGCAAGAATGACATATACGATAATTTTATTGAATATTTATTGAATGTGAAAACAGGCCATAATCGACACGAACAATCTGCAATGGTTCAACATACCGATGTGCGCCATCGGTGCAAGAAAACTCACGTGAAGTCCTGCAAGAGGACCCGCGCTGGCAAGAACGGCACCTCGGTGGAAGCCTGCTGCTTCTCCCAGTCTAAAATGTTTTGGACGTCTTCCTCTGTGACATAAAAACCGTCGCAGTTTCGGATGGCCGCCTCCAGTAAGACGCGGATGGACAGAGGCAGCTTGACTTGAGGATGCAGAGAAAGACACATTTTTAAAAAAACGAGTCCACTTCCTCATCTCTTCACGCACACAAGTGTTTTTTTTTTTGGGGGGGGGGGGGCGACTCACCATATCTTGAATCGTTTAATTTGTGCGGGTTGAAGAACTTGAGGCGTCCGTCATCTGACAGCGGGTCGATTAAATGATGATATGGGTGCTCTACAGGAGAACAAGATTATCGGGTTATGCACAAAACACGTATCACAGATGTACCAAGCTGTGGCGCAAAAACAGGTCAGATTACTTGTACCGTACCACCACTTATACTTTGTAGAAAAGAATTGCGAACCGCAGATGGATGGAGCTTTGACCAAGCAATTTCCATGAGAAACTTAACGTCCAGCCAAGCCAGGCGGTATGACTGCTCATGTCATTGTGTTAACTTGTTCAACGGTTTAACTTGTTAATTTACTGGAGAAAGTTTTTAATATGTTTTCAATAAAGATGGTTTTCTCCCCCAAGATGAAACCACATCTAATCAAATCAAAGTAGACGGTGGTGGGTCGGGGCATGGGGGGGTGACACAAAACGCTTAACGTGTTTGGAATCAGACTATCCATCCATTATCTGAACTGCTTATCCTCACGAGGCTATAATCGTTGGAATTTAGTTTTCCTACATGCGTCGGTTGAAAAACAAAAGAAACGAATCTGAGTGTTAACTTAAAACTGCCGACGAGTGACATCATGAAACGACCCCCGATTGACAACAGGATGTAGGCGGCGGCTAGTGTTAGCTGACTAGCCTTATCATCAAGCCCTTTCGCTTTCTACTTATCGCGCAGCTGCTTGAACAACTGGCGGCGGAGATAACGCCCCCCCCCCAAAAAAAAAAGCATACGACATGGTAATTGCTCAACAGTATGCAATGAACTAAGTTAGAGTGAACTCAAGTGTGGTGAGCGGCACTGGTTAATTTCAACACTCGCTCGGTTTGAGAGGATAACCAGGCTGGCTGTGGTTTCAATAACATTGAACGAAAGGATTATCTCGTTTTAAAAATGTGAATTGGAGCCGTGTGATCACCAGTGAAGGTGAGCGGAGTTGGCGACGGGATAATGGAAGCACAAGCAGAACAAGAAGACTCCGATTTACCTTCACCCGCTGTGAGCGCCATGATGACTTATGAAATCAACACGATTCATCTCGCTATCCCGGTGGCAACACCGAACGGACCAATCACAAGGCAAGGGTGGATGCGGCCACGCCTATCCACTTGACGCCTTCAGACTAAAAGCAGAACGGAAACGCCGTTCCATTAAAATAAAAGTTTTCGAATAGAACGGAAAGATTACTGTACTCGAGTACTAAATATGCATACACTCTATGTGCATACACACTACCAAACACAAATATCACAAAAGTATATGGGTCGTTACGTCATTTGAGAACATTTTCTCCCCCTACATCGATGAAATTTCACATAAATCATCCACTAAATACAGAAAGTGCACACTTTTTGTGTCAATTGCAGTTGACGTGAGACAAAACGTAACTTTTACGTGTCGTAAAAGTCAGGGAAGCGTGGGCACAAATCGAGCATTAACGTTAATAATAACCCTTTTACTGTAATTAGAGTAATACGTCAAATATAACTGTTGGAAGTGTGAATGATTTATTCAGCAATCAAACACAGCACATGCCAAATAAAATACCTCATAAAAAGCTGTACAAAAAAATAAATGATTACCAATTTTTAAAAATGTAACAACAAATTAATAAATAAAAGAACGGTTGTTCAAAAAACGTTGGTGCCAAAACGGTCCTCCAGTTTTGGAATGACCCACACAATATACGTGTGCGGAAATAATGACGATTTTGTCCCAATTAACTCCCACATATACTTAAACAGAGTGAAATCTGGGCCTGTTGAACACAAAGCCATTATTCTGTTTTGTGACAGTGTACGTAGCGGGCCTAGATGGATGGAAACATCTATATTTAGTTCAACAATCATTATAATTAAGTACATTTAGAAAAAAAAACTTCCCTTATGAGCTCTACATTAAATGAGCCATATTACACACACGCACACGCACACACACACACACGCACACGCACACACACACACACGCACACGCACACACACACACACGCACACGCACACACACACACACGCACACGCACACACACACACACGCACACGCACACACACACACACGCACACGCACACACACACACACGCACACGCACACACACACACACGCACACGCACACACACACACACGCACACGCACACACACACACACGCACACGCACACACACACACACGCACACGCACACACACACACACGCACACGCACACACACACACACGCACACGCACACACACACACACGCACACGCACACACACACACACGCACACGCACACACACACACACGCACACGCACACACACACACACGCACACGCACACACACACACACGCACACGCACACACACACACACGCACACGCACACACACACACACGCACACGCACACACACACACACGCACACGCACACACACACACACGCACACGCACACACACACACACGCACACGCACACACACACACACGCACACGCACACACACACACACGCACACGCACACACACACACACGCACACGCACACACACACACACGCACACGCACACACACACACACGCACACGCACACACACACACACGCACACGCACACACACACACACGCACACGCACACACACACACACGCACACGCACACACACACACACGCACACGCACACACACACACACGCACACGCACACACACACACACGCACACACACACACACACCCGCACACACACACACACGCACACACAAAACATCTCAACCCATGTTGAGAAACAGGAAACAAACATAAAAAACATAAAATAACAAAGTACATTGAATACACGCAAACTTGAAAGGAATTTGTGTTAAATTAATTGACCCTCCAACTTCTGTGGATACTTTCTTGTGCATGTTCACATTTAGACAAGGGAGCTTTGCAATAACCGTCGTAAAACGCGTTTTTTTAAATTATTTGGTTTATGATTGCACTCGAAGTCGATCCTCAACGATCTGTATTCAAACAAACCCTTCTTCGGCTGAGTGGAGCGTTGAACAAGTCACGTGACCGACGGCAAGTTTGACATTTGCGACGGCTGCGGTGCACTTGAACGCGTCACGAGCGACAAAATTGTACAAGCCGTCAACTAAGTTAAACAATCGAAAAATAATCGTTTCGCGGGGCGCCCTTGAGATTAAGCCAACTCGTCAATATTGTTATCGCGGTTTGTTTTATTTTTTTATTTTTTTCACACGGAATAACAATCAGGGTACGAAGCAGCCGACTACGACCTTTCCCCTTCGGTTTCGCAGCCGTCATGGACGGAAGCCATGACCCAACGTGTTGTCGAGCACAAGGCCAAATGGAAGAGTGAGACAAGCGTCAAGGGGTGAACCGATCCAGTGGGCCTCGAAACAGGTTCGTCAAAACGAGACGTCTCATTTGAAGAGTGTTTGTTGCAAGCAAACCGGATTTGTTGTCGTCGTTAGCAACGAGCTAAGCTAACAGGGGTAGAGGGGTCTCTATTGACATATACACGTGACTCCCTTCCGAATGGAGCAGTCGGGAGAAAAATGTCTCGATGCTTATTTTCCTCATTCTTCATCGATCGGTTCGAAGGTTCAATTAGGATTTCGGCAATGTGTCATTTGTTAGACGTTCCGTGAAGGTGAACTTCCGTTTTTTTTGTTTTGTTTTTTTTTGTTATTGGTGGGACGAACAGATTACTCACCACGCGCATATGGTACAGAAGTGCATATCAATTGCTCAGAATTGACACCTAAGCAAGTCATTACAATGGAAAACAAGAATATACTGGTCCCATTTGGGGATTCCAGGAGAAACCAGATACCGTATTTCCTCAATGCCAAGTGCAAATAGTGTTTACTCAACTACAGAGGGTGATGGGCATCTCATAGCGGGACGGTATTTATTGTAATTGAAGCGATATGCATCTGTAGAAAAAAAAAAGAACAAATAAAATGAACAGGGGATTTGTTTTGGCATGTTGAATATTTTTATTTTCTGCAAATAAAGGCTGAAAAAAAGTACTTAGCGAACCAAATCCCACCAATATGACCGACATTAAATTGCAGTTGTGTAGTCGATTAAAGTGTTCATCAAAAGCGAGACGGGTGTTTTATTTTTTTAAAAAGTACAGCATCACAACACTCTAAACACAGCCTTACATTCCCCGTTCGTGGGCGAACAAGCCAACGCTTGATAAATTCCCCTTAACAATGATCGAAAGACCCGACATCATCGTTTGATCAAAACTGGGGCCGTCACCATCTAATCGTTTTAGAATCATTTCGATTATTCCTTCAAATAAACTAATTGGATGGATTTGCATCTGGTGTATAAACTTCGTTGTCAGGAGAGGGGAAAAGTTGCAGTGTCATCTTTCCACCAATAATGGGTGCTAATTGACTGCAATAGCCCAATTTCATATTACTGATCAAAGTGCGTCATGGAATTATGAAATTATGATTGTGTGTGAGATTAACAAAAAAATAAAATGAATCACTTTTTTTTTTGCAAGATGAAACTAGAGAGTGGATGATACACCGACTAGATGTTTTGTCCGTTTCTTTTTAATGACGAAAAAGCACAGCTGTCACCGTCGTAATCTGTGTGTGCCTAAAAATGTTTACGTTTCAGCTTTCGCTTGTGACTGAATTGGCTTTCATTTGTAAGATTTTATTTTTGGTTTTCGTTGCAGTGATCTTATTGGGCAAGATCAATCTTAACAAACAAATCAAAATGGTTTTTAATTTTCAGTTTAAAAAAAAGGGAAGAATGACCGATAGAGATTTTCTTTTTTTTTTTGTGTTAGTCCGAGATGGCACCTGGAGGGCGGCCGACGTCAGACGCAAGGCTTTAGCACACGCCCCCTCCCCCACCACCCCTACCGCACACCATGCAGCAGAAAGGCGCCATCCAGATCATCGAATGGGAGGACCTGGACAAGAGGAAGTTCTACTCCCTGGGCGTTCTGATGACGCTGAGCACGCGCGCCACCGTGTACCCGGCCAGCCTCATCCGCACGCGGCTGCAGGTGCAGAAGGGCAAGGCCCTCTACTCGGGCACGGTGGACGCCTTCTGCAAGATCCTGCGGGCGGAGGGCGTGCGGGGCCTGTACCGCGGCTTCCTGGTCAACACGTTCACGCTGGTGTCGGGCCAGGCGTACATCACCACCTACGAGCTGGCGCGCAGGCAGGTGTCTCGCTACTCGTCCAGCAACACGCTCAAGTCGGTGGTGGCGGGCGGGGCGGCCTCGCTGGTGGCGCAGACCATCACGGTGCCCGTCGACGTGGTGTCGCAGCACCTCATGATGCAAGGCCAGGGCGAGAACAGCGGCCGCTTCAAGGCCAAGTCCAAGATGATGCTGGCGGCCACCAAGCGCCGGCTGACCTTCGGCCAGACGCGGGACATTTCCGTGCAGATCTTCGCCGCCGACGGTTTCCGGGGCTTCTACAGGGGCTACGTGGCCTCCCTGCTCACCTACATCCCAAACAGTGCCCTCTGGTGGCCTTTTTATCACTTTTACGCAGGTAAATTCAAAGTCTCCATCCCATTTTAGAATTATAAAGACATATTAGGGCCACGGTGAACACATGACAATGCTTCTTGACTGGACGTACTGCTTTGTATCCCCTTCAAAATAAAACCGTAGTCCCACCATAGTGAAACTTTTAATTTTGTAATGCTTATAATGATACTACTGGATTCTTGTCCTATTCATTTTGCCGTGAAAAGTACAGATTTATTTCCATCATATTCCGCTCCAATTAAAAGTCACTTTTTTTTTTTGTTCTTGAAAACTCAAGACTTGAGTCTTTTAATATTGGAACGGACTTTTTATAAATTACGGCAAAAGAATGACGACTTAATTTGTACTTTTTGCATTTGAGGGACGAAGACATTACGCTTGTGATATTTCGACTTCATTCCCAAAGACATATTTATGTCTTTTCACACTCCACACGTTCAACCCCAGATACTTCTTTTTTTTTTCAATTTTTCCAAGACTTAGGGTAAAAAAAAAAAAAATGGGGTCTAGAATTGGCTGGTACTAAATTAGTTAAAATCTGATTGTTCTCAATGTACTACTATTTAGTCCCAGCAAGTCACTTTTTTTTTTTTTTTTAAATCCCCCACGACCAGCCCGGAAATTCACCAGCCATTCAGGAAACATGTTTTCCTGAAATTCCCAATAGCCCTCATATTCGGAGATGGATGTCGATGTGTTTTTTTTGTTTTGCATCCACAGAGCAGCTGTCTCTGCTGGCACCTAGCGAGTGCCCCCACCTCATTCTGCAGGCGCTTGCCGGGCCCATGGCCGCCGCCACCGCCTCCACCATCACCAACCCCATGGACGTGGTCCGGGCCAGGGTGCAGGTACGGTCCAAGGCCATGATTTTTTTTAAAGTGTAAAAAGAAGTCCACCACTCTTAAGGGTGGTTAGTACAAAACCAGCCTTCGAGCTTGGCTAGTTCTAACCATAGTATCGAAGATAAATGTGACTTTTTCCACCGAGTCTAAATACTGACATATTTACTTCTCCCTGTCAAAAGCAAGTTTGCAAAGCACGGTTAGCTGCACGCGGGTCGTTCCGATACAGTTATCCGTCATGAAAATTATACTTCGCCAAAAATGACAACGCGCGTTTTCTCCCGCTGCCGGCGGATCAAAATGTTTCGTTACCCGCGAGTAAAGTCGTCCGCTTCTGTGGCGCTGCAGGTGGAGGGCCGCTCGTCGGTGGTGGAGACTTTCAAGCAGCTGCTGGCGGAGGAAGGCCTCGGCGCCGTGACCAAGGGGCTGTCGGCCCGCATCATCTCTTCCACGCCCACGTCGGTGCTCATCGTGGTGGGCTACGAGACCCTCAAGAGGCTCAGCCTGCGGGACGATCTGGTCCACTCCAGACACTGGTAGACTTTGACGAGGAGGACAAAAAGCCTAACGCCACATTTTACCTCATGGCAGGAGCTCACTATTAGCTCACTTTGGCCTCAGCCAAGATAATGCTGCCCAAAAAAAAAAAACTTGGCTCACTTTGGTCTCCGCCAAGATAATACTGCCCAAAAAAAGAGAAAGGCTCAAAAAGACTGCGCTCAAGGTACGGTATTGCAACGTTGAAGAAAAAAGAAAAGTAAAAACCACCGATTTGGTTGAGACACCGCCAAGGGAACAAGAAACTGTTTTTTGTTTTTTTTTTTCATTTCTGCGCTAGTCATCAGCCTTGAAGCTTTCAGCTTCAAGTTAGTTACATCACTATTGGCTAGGTGAACGCATTTTTTTGTGTTTTTAATCATTCTTCACTCCATATTGTTTCGCGAGTAATGTTATGTGGAGATTTTTTTTTAAGACACAACCTCCGAGAAGAATAGCATGTAGATTTTACCTGCCCAAAAATTGTCCCTCCTGGGTGTCGGGGTTTTGGTGCATTGGGTTGAAGTGAAAAGTTGCTCACTGCCGAAAATTTCAGGACAAAAAAAAACAAAAACAAAACCCCATTCGAGCTCCTCTGGGAACACCTGTTTTCTCTCGCGCGTGTCCTTGAGCTGTGTCCTCTCCTGGCTGACGTTGGGGGAGGGGCTCTGTTTTCTCTCGCGCGTGTCCTTGATAGCGTGTGCTGTGTCCTCTCCTGGCTGACGTTGGGGGAGGGGCCACCCAGGACTGGTCACTGGCCAATCACGGCACATACAGGACAAACAGCAGCTCAACTTTGGACGCTTCAATGAAGCCGGAGGAAACCGATTCAAGCACAGAGGAAGGAGAATTGAATCTAACCTCATTTAATGTAAGGCAAACGTGCTACCTATTGTATCTTGTTTTTTTTTTTTTTTTACTACCGTCACATGTTGTGTGTGAGGTGAACAACTCAAAGACGTGACTACAGATGCACATGTCAAAATGCCACCCCAGGGCTCGTGAACAGACTGCAATTACGGTTCTTGGAATAAAACCGCACATGATCAAGAGCACTGATGGACTCTTAAAACTGTCACAGTTGTCTTTTCTGGAATGTTTTCATGAAACGATGCATACTTGTGGGTCAATGGCATTAATAAATAAAATGACTAGCAGTGGACAAATTTGGTCTGAATCAAGACCGGCCTTGCCAACGGTCATTGCAGCAACTACTCCATTCAGTGTAACACCGAGCTGCACTTTTAGTCATTTATTTTTATGACTGCTGCCCAAAAGTTGTTCAGTACTGAGTGAAACTCAACTACAACCAGACAGGTTTAATTTAAAAAATAACAAAAAACTTTATTGTACTGTCACAAGCCTGTACAGAACGATTCACATAAAAAGAGTGTCTCCCAGCAGCCTTTTCGGACGGCCCGCCTCACATGGGGCAATCGTAAATATGGATGGCGCGGTCGTCACCGGCCGAGATAATCTTGGAGCCGTTGTTGTTGTACTTGACGCTCCACACCTGAGGAAGGGTGCAATTACGCAACAGAATCACGACTCTCTATTTGAGATGAAATATGTATTGGAAAATGGGCAGCGGGGAGGGGCTCCGAATAATCGAAACAGTCCCCGTGACTTTCAGGTCTTACCTGGTCTTGGTGGTCGAAGAAGGTGTTGATGCAGGCTCGGGAACCGGCGTCCCAAACTTTCACGCTCTTGTCCGAGGAACTGAAGAAGTGG